AATTGGTCCTGCTTTGAGCAGGGGGTTGGACTAGATGACCTCTTGAGGTCCCTTCCAACTCTAATATTCTATGATTCTATGATTCTATGATTCATCAAGTTAACGAAGTATGGGCTGGATGAATGGACTGTAAGGTGGATAGAAAGCTGGCTAGATTGTCGGGCTCAACGGGTAGTGATCAATGGCTCCATATCTAGTTGGCAACCGGTTTCAAGCGGAGTGCCCCAAGGGTCGGTCCTGGGGCCGGTTTTGTTCAATATCTTCATTAATGATCTGGAGGATGGCGTGGACTGCACCCTCAGCAATTTTGCAGATGACACTAAACTGGGAGGAGTGGTAGATACGCTAGAGGGCAGGGATAGGATACAGAGTGACCTAGACAAATTAGAGGATTGGGCCAAAAGGTGAGGTTCCTTGATGAGGTTCAACAAGGACAAGTGCAGAGTCCTGCACTTAGGACGGACAACTCCCATGCACTGCTACAGACTAGGGACCGAATGGCTAGGCAGCAGTTCTGCAGAAAACCTAGGGGTTACAGTGGATGAGAAGCTGGATATGAGTCAACAGTGTGCCCTTGTTGCCAAAAAGGCTAATGGCATTTTGGGCTGTATAAGTAGGGTCATTGCCAGTAGATTGAGGGACATGATCATTCCCCACTAGTCGACATTGGTGAGGCCTCATCTGGAATACTGTGTCCAGTTTTGGACCCCACACTACAAGAAGGATGTGGAAAAATTGGAAAGAGTCCAGCAGAGGGCAACAAAAATGATTAGGGGGCTGGAGAACATGACTTATGAGGAGAGGCTGAGGTAACTGGGATTGTTTAGTCTGCAGAAGAGAAGAATGAGTGGGGATTTGATAGCTGCTTTCAACTACCTGAAAGGGGGTTCCAAAGATGCTGGATCTAGACTGTTCTCAGTGGTGGCAGATGACAGAACAAGGAGTAATGGTCTCAAGTTGCAGTGCGGGAGGATTAGGTTGGATATTAGGAAAAACTTTTTCACTAAGAGGGTGGTGAAGCACTGGAATGCGTTACCTAGGGAGGTGGTGGAATCTCCCTCCTTAGAGGTTTTTAAGGTCTCGCTTGACAAAGCCCTGGCTGGGATGATTTAGTTGGGGATTGGTTCTGCTTTGAGCAGGGGGTTGGACTAGATGACCTCCTTAGGTCCCTCCCAACCCTGATATTCTATGATTATCAATATCATAGGGGAGCATTGTGATCATCTAGTCTGACCTCTTGTATAACACAGGCTAGAGAACTTCGCCAAAATAATTTCTAAGACATCTCTTTAAAAAAAAACATTCAATCATGATTTAAAAATTGCCATTGATGGAGAATCCACCATATCCCTTCGTAATTGTTCCAATGGTTAATTACCCTCACTGTCAAACATTTCCACCTTATTTACAGTTTGAATTTGTCTAGCATCAACTTTCAGGTTTTTAAGGTCAGGCTTGACAAAGCCTGGCTGGGATGATTTAGTTGGGGATTGGTCCTGCTTTGAGCAGGGGGTTGGACTAGATGACCTCCTGAGGTCCCTTCCAACCCTGATATTCTATGATTCTATGATACCCTACACACAGGGCTCATACTGGGTCTCGGCTCCCTAGCATGATACATGATAGGATTCCCTTGGAAGTTATTTAGCACTGGTGGAAGAAGTGTGTTTCTATATACATCACTGTATATATGTGTGTGTAACTACAGGTACTGCACATAATGGATATGTAAAGTGTGTGCTGTATGTAAGAGGTACTACATTCTCTTACCTTGTTAGATGAGCTGTTCTCATTTAGGGACCAGCCTCACCAAAAAGTGCTCATCTACTCTGCCTAATGCATAACACAACATCCTCCACAATCATTACTAATATCCCACATCGAAAGCTGCTGGGGTCATCTTGTAGAAGATACAGATCAATGCAAGCCATGGCAACCCAGTACCTAGTAGTAACAAAGCTGCTTATCATAGAATGACCAATACCAACAGAAAGCATCTTTGGCGTCACCAAGGATCATTTCAGTTCACTGGAACAGGCTCAGGCTCTCTGGATTTGAGCTATAGTGTTTACAGGATCAAACGTTTTGTGTTTTTTTTAAATATCAGAAATACCAGGTCATGACATCCCTACTTTTGCTGGAAGAATTTGCCAAGATATTCCTTGGTGTGAAGTACGTGGCTATTGAATGAACGGCAATGGCCCATGTCTCATAGTCTGCTTCGGCATTTCCGTTTTATAGCTGAAGAGACCTACCACAGGTGGAGTTCTTGGAAAGCAAATTGATTGCTGTTCAAACCAAAGCCATACTACATATTCTGTTATGGATGATACATGGAATTCATCCCTCTCTAATATTGACAGTCTGAGGAAGGGCATGTCAAGTTTCCCATGAGCACATCATTAAGCTGCACCCCCTAAAAGGAGAGTCTTCTGCCAATAGAGCTTCTTCTCAATGTCATAGTTGTACAACCCACCCTAAAGTGGATTGAAAAAATTTGGTAAAAAAGTTT